CTTGTTAAATTAAAAAAAAAAAAAATCCACGTATGAGTTAGATAGGGCCATAGTAAAAAAAAGAGAGAGAGAGAAAATAAAAGGCAGAAAGAGCTGGGTAACTAATTCAGAATTACCAAAACTCAAAAATTATTTGTAGCTGTAATATAATTGACATACTATTGCCATATCTTAAATTAAAAAGAAGAGGGGTGAGATCTAAAACCGTCTGGAATCAAAATATACCCAATGCAGGACTTGGAAATCTGTTTTTTTAGACTTATGCTAGTAAATTTCCACAGAAGCTGGGCATGAGTTTATGAAAGGTGACATTAACATACACTATCTTCCTAATTAAGACTCAAAGTTTTCACATGATTAATGTATTGTGAAATATAGAAGATGTAGCTGATGTTACCTACTAACATTATTGCAGCCAGTACCATGACCACTGTGTTTATTTCACAATGATTTTGGAAGATGCTAATTGAACTTTATCAAATAGAAGTAAAGGGCCTAATTCTGATTTGTTATCCATTTTACTTTTATTAAACAAAATGATGAATAAGGATTTCAAGTAGAAATACATTATTTTTTAAAAAATGTTAAATGTTTTTTTATCTTGAGAAGAGAGAGAGAGAGAGAACAGGGGAAGAGCAGAGAGAGAAGGAGAGAGAGAATCCCAAGCAGGTTCTGTGCTGTCAACACACAGCCCCACCAAGGGCTCCATCTCACCAACTGTGAGATCACGACCTGAGCCAAAAGCAAGAGTGGGTCGCTTAATTGACTGAGCCACCCAGGTGCCCCTGAAATAGGAATACATTCTAAATAAACGTTGATGAATGGGTTTAGTAAAGGTTGTTTTGTATGCAGTGCTTCCAGTTTCTGTTGAGTAGAGGACACAGATAAGAGAATCAAGTACCCCTTGGTTTTGTTTACCCCAGTTTTGTTATTTTCTTTTAAAATAATATCTTTTAATAAATTATATTTCCTTCTACTTACAAATCAAGTTATTTAAATGAAAGTTATGAAAAATTAATTATTTTCACAAATTTATTCATTCAACTAATATAGAACACCTACTGTGTGCAAGACACTGCAGGGCTCTGATGCTATATATCTGTCAGTTAAAAAAAAAAGATTTGGTTTATACCTCACATTAATGGACCATACATGTCAAGCTATAAGCCACAAATTTTATGGCATTTTATTTTTAACACACTTATCAGCTCCCTCTGTTTCATCAAGGCATTCCACCAAAGATTTAAGCTTCTAATTTGAAAAGAATTGCCATCTTGTATGGCCATCAAAGGATCTGTAAAAATAGTGCTAGGTGTTCTCCTCATTTTTCACATGCAGCTCTGTGCTAGATAGTTTTCTTTTGGGGCCTTTAGTTTCAATCTCTCTTTCTCTGTGCCAGGAGGCTGACCTCCGTGGACTGCATCATCTGGGTTCTCTTGCTCTCTGCTTCTCATGGTATTCAGCAGTGGGGGGCACTGGCTGGCAATATGAGTGAGAAGGACAGAGAGATTGGGATATTCTTTCCTAGTTTTTTCTTCTGCATCATGATGACGGCAGTGGCCCCATTCTCTGTGGACACAGCTCCTATCCGGTGGCTCCTCTTACAAGACTATGTATGGTCTTCCAGGATTCTGATAACAGTGTCCTCCTCTTGCCCCTTCAGGCCCAGGGGTGAAGCAGATGCCTGCTACTGCTCATCTTTGGGTGCTTTACCAGCCTCTGTTGGTTCACTTAACATCCCACACCTAAGTTACCCTTTTTCTAACTTCTGTTTAGTTAGGCACCTCCGGAGTACCCCCCTGTTTCCTGCTGGAACTCAAGAGAATTCCACCCCCTCCCCAAATAATTTTATATCTGGGGAAAGGTTTTCAATGGTAACACGAGAGATTGAAAGCAATTTGAACTATATCTGATGCACCAGAATAATGGAATTCCATTTCCAAGCGACTTGAAGACCAACTCTTCTGCACTTCCAGAACATAATTATACAATACACTTGGATGGTCAATTTAATTATTCTTAAAGTTAATTAATTAACTGGAAAAGAATTCAATCCTGTTTTTTGTTTTGTTTTGTATCCAGTGTAAATACAGTGAATACTAGTTGAGAGGTTGACAAACAATAGTCTAGGGGCCAAATCTGACCCACTGTTTTTTTGTAAATAAAGCTTTTCTACAACACAGCAACACCTATTTCTTTACACACAATCTATGATTGCTTTATGCTACCATGAAAGTGGTTAGTTGCCACAGAGACCTTATGGCCCACGAAGCCTAAAATATTTACTATCTGACCTTTTACAGAAAAAGTCTGCCCCCCTCTAGAACTAACCTATTGAATGATATATTTGCCATTTTATTTCTTTTGGCCTCATTTAGATACAATCTTTTCTGTGTCTTGTCTGCTCCATATGCTATCTCACACATATGATAGCTCAATAAATATTGATTCATGAATCAAGAAAGTGAGAATGCTCTGACAAATATAGAACTCATAACCCCAGTTTTATTCTAAACCCAGAGAATACATTTTTATTCTTTTGCAAGATGTATTAGCCAAGTTTTAGATATGGTTGTGGGAATTTGAGATTTGATGTTTTAAAAATCAGTATACTGGGGGCACCTCGGTGGCTCATTCGGTTGAGTGATGGATTTTGGCTCAGGTCATGATCTCACGTTTTGCGAGTTTGAGCCCCACATTGGGCTTGCTGCTGTCAGGCTGTCAGACTGTCAGCGCAGAGCCTGCTTTGGATCTTCTGTTCCCCTTTCTCTGCCCCTCCCTGCTTGCACTCTCCCCCAAATAAACAAATTTTTAAAAATACATAAATAAAAATTGGTAAGCTGGCAGTTCTACATATTTAAAATATGATGAATATCATTATTAAAAATGCATTTGAGAAGTGCTTGCTGGTTCAGTTGGTAGAGCATGTGACTCTTTATCTCAGGATCATGAATTAATTTAAGCTGAGAGACGTATTCAAATTTTGATCACTGTTATATCTTCTAATGGTGTTGTGAGAGTGGTAAGGCTTTTAAAAATAATGTGAAATAAATGCAATGATATATTAATCTCTGAGTGGTAGAATTATGGGTTTGATTTTTTATTTGTTTTTTTCTTTATATCATTGATTTTTCCAAACATGCCAATGAAATGTATTATTTTCATAATGAGAAAATAAGGTAATTTTTAAAATATGAAACATGTTTAGGGGTGCCTGTGTGGCTCAGTTGGTTGAGCGTCTGATTCTTGATATCAGCTCAGGTCATGATCTTACGGTTGGTGAGATCAATTCCTGCACTGGGCTCTATGTTGACAGCATGGAGCCTGCTTGGGATTCTCTGTCCCTCTCTCTCTGTCCTTCCCCTGCTCTCTGTCTCTCTCAAAATAAATAAATAAACTTTATTTATTATTTATTTATTATTTTTTTAATATGAAATTTATTGACAAATTGGTTTCCATATGACACCCAGTGCTCATCCCAATAGGTAATAAACTTTAAAAACAAAATAAAACAAAAAAATGTTTAGTTCCATGCAACTGAATATTTTATATTGCAATTTTAGTTTAAGAAACCAAAAACAGGTATTTAAATTATGAAATCTGCAAAATAAAATTGAATCTGAGAATTCTTCTCAAGCTACTATTTAAATAAAACATCCAACTGACACATATTGATTGAAAATTAGGAAATAAAAAACATTTACATTAAACAATTTGTTAAATTTAATGTGAATTTTAACTTTCAACAGCAGAACATCAAATACATCATCTCATATATCAATGTATACATTTTTTATATATCTTTGTATTTTCATTCAATAGAAGGAAATAAAATGTCTTCAAATTTCCTTATTTATAATGGTTATTATCATTTTTAATTTGCATTATTTTGTATGAGAACAAATCTACAGTTTTTCTACGATTAGAAGCATTTAATTGTTTTAGCCCACACTTATTTTTAGTAGCCTAAAAGCACCAGTGTTTTATGTAGAAACCCACTTCCTGATTTACCTTGAAGGGAATGCCATGTGGCATATTCAAATGATGCTCTAAAAATGGTATTATTATACTTAAGAATAATCAGTTCATATTTTTGTTATTAGAAGGTCTTAAGCTTTCATGTTATGGTATGTAATTTGTCAATTATATTTCCATGGTCTTTACTGTGAGGGTAGTCTCTGCCACATGGAATGAGTCTATTTTATTAATGAACCATCATTTATTTTGACATAGGCTAGGTTCTGTTTTTTTTTAAAGATTTTATTTATTTTAATGTTGATTTATTTTTTTAGAGAGAAAGAAAAAGAGAGAGCATGAGCATGGGAGGGCCAGAGAGAGAGTGAGACACAGAATCCTAGGCAGGGTCCAGGCTCTGAGTTGTCAGCACAGAGCCCAATATGGGGTTCGATTTCACGCACCATGAGATCATGACCTGATCCAAAGTCAGACGCTTAACCAAATGAGCCACCCAGGTGCCCCTGAGATTTTACTTTTTTAAGTAAGCTCTGCATCCAATGTGGGGGTCGAACTTACGACCCCAAGATGAAGAGTCTCCTGCTCCTCTGACTGAGCCGGCCAGGTGCTCTGGCTAGGTTCTGTTTTATCTAGGTTTTAACAGGTATTGCTGATGCCTGTCTCTAGGGTGTAAATGGGTAGAAAGTAGAGGTTGGGAATAGGCTTACAGTCAGAATAAGAGAATGTTTTTTTTTTTTACCTTTTAAAGATCCATTTTGGGGCACCTGGGTGGTTCTGTCGGTTGAGTATCTGACTTTGGCTCAGGTCATGATCTCACAGTTCGTGAGTTCGAGCCCCGCGTTCGGCTCTGTGCTGACAGCTCAGAGCCTGGAGCCTGCTTCGGATTCTGTGTCTCCCTCTCTCTGCCCCTTCCCCACTCATGCTCTGTCTCTCAAAGATGAATAAATGTTAAAAACAATTTTTTTTAAAGATCCATTTTATAAAATTTGTCTTTTTCTATACTTGTGATTTTCTCCTGTAATCAGATTTCCATTTGCTTAGTAACTTTCCATCAGCAGCATTGGAAATAGGAATGAGTCACCACCTACTGCATGGGATTAAGGAATTAAAGGAGGAACCAAGCAAACATGAGGAACTGATCACATGATAGGACAGTCATACCCTGGAAATACCTGGTAAGTAACCGTTAATTTACAAGATTATTTCATGTCCTATCACAGCAAACTAGTTAAAGGAATAGGGTAGCACTACCTCACCTAAATAAGACCAAGAGAATGAAAGTAAGCAAAAACATTACACCGAGAGACACTTTTAGGCATATCACAAATTCATGCACTTTAGTCATAAGAGAGCCCATTAAGTTCTCGCTCAAAACTTATTAATTCTTCTAGCCTGTTTTAACAATCTGTGAATTCCCTGCACAACAGAAAACAAGAAGCAGCAAATTAGAATGGGGACTATCAGTAGAGGTCTTGTCAGCAACAAAAACCAAAAGCCAAGAGAGAAAACAGGAAAGCTATTCAATGTAAAATTAAAAACTCAAAACATAGTTGTCTTGGGCCTGTGAATGTAGGTCAAACATTCATGCACTTCTCAAGAGCCCGTGAATGTGTAATTATATTGAAAGCACAACACAATCATTTAGGTCAATTGTGAGGACATATATGATTAATAAAAGGTCAATTTCTCTTCAGGATATGCTGTCCAATAAAGCTTAGACAATTATGACAACTTTCTAGAAGATTTGCATCAAAATGATAACAAGTGAAAAAACAATTTGTGTGCTGAAAAGGATAAATACCATTATATGATGCTGAGAAATGAAAGAATACATGATGTTTACATATTCTCCTAAGCTTTTCTCTCAAAAAAAAAAAAAACAACTATATAGACTTGGGAAAAACTTATCTCAAAAGCCATTTATTTTATGATCTCAATGTCTTTTTAGTTCTTTAAATTCACTGGCAAGCAGTAACCACCAGCTTATGCCTCCTTCAGGTCATTAAGCTAATTAGAATAGTCTTTCTCAGAAGTTGCTCTGCTATGAGCTCTTGCCAGTTGTTAGGAATTTAAAGTCGTCACCATGGTTGAAAGAAGACTGACACATTGATAGAAGGTGCCCATAATAGCAAGGCACTGTCCTAAATGCCAGGGACACAAGGATGAATTTTAAAATGTCACTCTCCTAGAGTTCCCCATCTTCTCAGAAGAGCACATCAGCAAATACGTGCCATTACAGAAAGCAAGTTACAGAAATAAAGAGTGGTTAGATACTATGCAAGGCACAAAAGAGGAAGTGGTCAACTCGACCCGAGGAAGAGGAATGAATGCTTCACAGAGTGGCACTTGAATCCTGAAGGACGAATGGGAGTTGACCTGGTGAGGAGGCAGAAAAGAACATTCCAGATGGGTGTGATAGCATAGAATATAGTGGTGAATTTGTGATAGTTCACTTTGTTTGCAACACAGCATCAGGGCATTTGAGAGGAACCATTGAAAGAGGGCTGAGAGGAGGACCCCTCTCTCTGCCCTGTCATCTCTTTTCAGGTTTCCTTCCTTCTGTGCAGTTGACATATGGGACAGAGCAAGTCCAGTGTCTAAGCAGATGCCCAGTAAAAACTGAAAACAGTATGCCCACTTTACAGTTGAGGAAACTGATGCTCAGAAAAGTTAAACCACATACCTAATCCTCCTCTCTTTCTCTCTCATTGTATAATACTTGTCTTAAAACTAGAAAATTAAAACATATGCCTTCTATGTTCTCAAGTGAGTTTAAAATCTTATTCATTAGTTCCAGAGGACTTAAAGACCTTATTGAAAACTGTATGAGAGAATGGAGTTTTGATGGCATTTCTTTTTAAATATTCATGAAGTAATGGTGCCATTCTTTTTTTGAAAAAACAGCTTTTTTTTGAAAATTAATTGACAATTCAGCCATGTAAGATATCTAATTCAATGATTTTTAGTATATTCACAGAACTGTGCATCTATCACAACTTAAGAATATTTTCATTTTCTCAAAAAGAAACACTGCATCCTTAAGCCTCTAACCCCATTTCCTCCCAACTGCCCCAGATCTAGGCAACCACTAATCTACTTTTTGTCTATACAGATTGGTCTCTTCTGGACATTTTATATTAATGAAATCATACAATATGTGGTATTCTGTGACTTGTTTCTTTAACTTAGCATAATGTTTTCAAGGTTTATCCATGCTGTAGCCTACGTTACTATTTCATTCTTTTTTAATGCCAAAATATTCTATTGTATGGATATAATACATTTTATACATTTAACAGTTGATGGACATTTGGGCTTTTTCCATTTTTTTGGCTATTATGAAAAATGGTGCCATTCTACTATTGTGTTTGTGTTATTTTTTAAAGTTTATTATTTATTTATTTATTTATTTATTTATTTTTAAGTTTTATTTTGAGAGAGAGAGAGATAGCGTGAGCAGGGGAGGGGCAGAGAGAGAGAGGGAGAGAAACCCAAGCAGGCTCCTCAGTGTCAGCCCAGAGCCCAGCTCAGAGCCCAGTGCAGGGCTCAAACTCATGAACTGTGAGATCATGACCTGAGCAGAAATCAAGAGTCTGATGCTTAACTGACTGAGCTACCCAGGCACTCCTATTTATTTATTTTGAGAGGGAGAGAGAGAGAGAGCGCGCGCGCGCACTGAGGGTGAGTGGGGGAGGGGCAGAGAGAAGGGAGAGAGAATTCCAAGCAGGCTCCGCCACTGTCAGCACAGAGCCTGATTTGGGGCTCCACCTGAGCTGAAATCAAGAGTCAGATGCTCAACTGACTCAGCCACCCAGGTGCCTCTGTGTTATTTTTATTATACTAGCCTATGGATGTGATTAGCTTTATAAATATGTGCCACCAAGGAACCCGGTTTGCAGTGAGTCTATCAGTTCCCATAGTAGGTCAAGACAGATGTAAATGTGGGTACTTTTGGTATACAGGTAGTATTATATATGTGCAATCTGCGGGGGAAGCCTCAATTACAAAATTCAGGGAAGAATCTTTCTCCAGTGATTCCTAAATGGGATCATGGTCCATTCCAAACATTTAACTTTTGATTGGAAGAGAGCAGAGCAAATAACTTAGACCCTAGTCAGATGGGTATGATTTTTCCAAAGTCCTTTCCTGTTGGATTCAATATTCTGAGAAAGAATGAATTCAAGACAAATAAATGACTACCAAGTACAAAGCAAAAATACCTGGAAGGAATCTTGAGTAATCTCTTCCTAAGTGAAAGGAGGTTAGGAGGAAACTTTTGGATTTTATCTTACAGGATGTTGCAATTCAGGGACTATTAAATTGTGTATAATGTACAATCCCTTTTGTGCCAGACAAAGAAGTTTCCTGATTGTACTCTTGAGATATTATAAAGCATTTCTAAGGTTGCTGTTGAACTAGAGAATTGTGAATTGGTAGGTTTTCAAATAAGTTACTCCAGACCTCAGTCTGGTCTAAAGCTTTCTGTTTTTACAATTAACTCCTCATGTTTCTTTGTTGAGTGTGTGTGTGTGTGTGTGTGTGTGTGTAAAAGCTAAAGATAGACCAGGAAGCATCTGGGGCCTTTTGGCTGTAGAGGGGAATCCAGATTTCTGAGGGCTAGCTATCCACTGAACTGGATACACAATGCTATCTATATCTGCCCAAAATGCCCCTAACTTATTGTACTTTGTGTTAATACTATGAGTTTTTCATTTATGAGTGAAGCAGGTGGGTCTGTCTAAAGATAAACAGTATAGGGCATGAATACTTCCATGTTGTTTGGTTGACCTTCTGAGGGATTACGAAGAAAAGTGGGCAAGTCAAGCTTTGGGCTGCTCTGAAAGCCATGCTTTCTTCTTGATGTCAGCTCTCTCTTGGTCTGCATTTCCAAACAAAGGATTATGATTAAGAAACAGTCATCAAGGGGTGCCTGGGGGGCTCAGTTGGTTGAGCATCTGGCTCTTGATTTCCTCTCAGGTAATGATCTCACAGTTTGTGGGTTAGAGGCTCGCATCAAACTCTGCACTGACAGAGCAGGGCCTGCTTGGGATTCGCTGTCTCCCTTTCTGCCCCTCTCTCATGCGCATGTGCTTTCTCAAAAATAAACATTTAAAGAAAAAAGAAAGAAAAAATCAAGAGCAGAAGGAAAAGATTGCTAGCAATCAGTATGACCCAAAGCTGAGTACTGGTCAGGTAATGCGAGATTCTACTATGTACACAACTTGCAAAGTGCCACATCAGTGCAACCTCCTTTTAATTAAGACAATTTTGGAAGGGCATTTCTCTGGTCTCCACAGCAAGATCCTTTCTCCTGTAACTAAAGTAGGAAGGTTACATTTCAAGTTTTTTCCCTAAATATCCTTCATTTGGGGGAAATAATGATGAAAACATCAATAATATTTATGGAGCACTCACTACAGGTTGCCATTTAATTTAACCCTATTATTAGTCCCGCTTTGAAGAGAGTAAAGCAGAGAGAGGTTCACTTACTTGCCGAGGCTCAGGCAACTGGTAAGTATCAGAGCCTGGATTTGAAGCAGGCAGGAAGACTCTAGAGCCCAGGATCTCACCTAATCAAGAAAATTTTCTGTATCATAACTTAGTGTTATAAAACATTTTTCCTGCTACTTTTTAAAATATCACGTATTCAAAATAGATTTATGTAAACAACACACACAGCAAAACTGTAATACTATCTTTATTTTCTCAAAAAAAATTGTTTTACATGCCCATTTTGTACCAGGGAAAAGATTTTTATGTTCCTTCAAAATGAGGGATTTTGCTGGGGAACTGTTAAAATTACTTTGATGATTCCATTCGTGCATCTCATAGAGATTTATGACAAGTATGTAATCTGTTTGTCACCCAACTTGGATGATTTCCAAATGTTTCCTTTTAGTAGTTCTTGATTTTGTTTAGATTTTTTTTCAATGGCCAAATAGTCAAACAACATTGTCTGAACCACGTTTGCTCCCATCAGGGAAAACCAACGTGTTGAAAGATAGCTTTGGTTATTTAAAATCCTACTACATTCACTTGCAACTTTGAAAAGCATTCATGCTTTAGTGGACTGGATTTTTAAAAGGAGAAGAAGAAAAAAATAAAACCAAGTTTGAGGCTCAAGTCCCTCCT